CTGCCTCAGGGATCTACTCTTACTGGATGGTCAAATTGGACCTTCAGGACGCGTATCTGACGATACCAATCGCGGAGGAGTACAGAGATTTGCTAAATTTGATTTGGCAAAGAAGGAGATGGCGCTTCTCATGTCTACCATTCGTCCTCTCCTCGGTACCTTGGTGCTTCACCAAGGTGATGAAACCGGTGATAACCTTTCTTAGGTCACGAGGGGTCAGACTGATCATATACCTGGACGACTTCCTTCTCCTCACCGTTCCTACTACTTACCCACTTAGATTGGACACTACACCTACTACAAAATTTGGGCTTCCTCCTTAACTTAGAGAAGTCGATTTTGTACCCCACGCAAGATAAGGAATTCTTAGGGTTTCACGTCAAGGAGGAATCCTTGCTTCATATCAATTGCTTGGAACTCCTGGCGGGTTTCTTCGTCATCTGCAGCCTTACACCCACCATCACCTGTTGTGTCCTACTCAAAATGGACAATGTGTCAGCAGTGAGGTACATAAATCACCTGGGTGGCACAAAATCGAAGATGTTGGCTCTCCTCGCCAAAGAGTTTTGGCACTTTTTTCTCTGCAACAACATCTCGATGATTGCAGAGCATATTCCTGGGCTGGACAACACAGCGGATTGGAATTCCAGATACCTTCGGGACTCTGGTAATTGGAAACAACACAGGCAAACCTTTCATCACTTACGGGCACTGTGGGGACAGTTGGACATCGACCTATTTGCCTCTCAACTGAACCCCCAGCTTCCGAGGTTTTACAGCTAGACCAGACCGGGCAGCCCCAGCGGTCGATGTGTTCATGCAGAAGTGGCCACAGATAAAACATTATTCGTTCCCATCGTTCAATCTCATACCTCGGCTGGAAATCACCCTTTTATTTGTCGCCTTATAAAAGGGATTAGATTGTCAAGACGTCGACATAGTCCTCAATTTCTTGGATAATTGGCCGGTGAATCAAAAATTCTCACTTCAACAACTTTCGGCGAAGTTACTCATCCTCCTTTGCCTAATTTCATGTAAACTGGTTTCAGATACCTTCCAACCAGGCGGAGCTTCTTTCAACATTTCTCGAAGAACTAAGTCATCGACCAAACAAGTGTTTTATCCAGAATTTCCTAACAAACCTAACCTGTGTCCAGTACTATGTCTGAAAGAATATCTGGATTGCACAGCTCCTCTTCGATCTACCCAGCAAAGTGCTTTATTTATTTATCTTCGGAAACCACATCTTCCAGTTTCATCTCCCACTTCGGCCCGTTGTCCAGATGGATGCTCTCTACAGCCGGGATAGATGTCTCAAGCTTTTCACCCCATTCTGTGCATGAGGCTATGACCTCCAAGGGTTCGACGATAGGTTGTCGTGTTGATGATATCCTGAAGGCGGCCGATTGGTCTTACGAATGTACATTTTGAGACTTTTACTGTCATCCCATCAAACATTTTTCTTCAAGGATTATTGCTCAGATTTGAAACTGCATAATATGAGCCGCCGTGACTGTAATAAAATTCCAAGATTTTACTATTTACATGACGTAAAGTCATGATTTTATTAACGACACGTAGGCGAGTATTATTCCCTCCCGTCCTGTGGAGAGTGTATACATCTATTATTTTATTTGCTCCAGGTTTACGGTAAATTGCATACGGATTGGTTGAGTTCATTGCACGGATTGACTTGTTAGGATTTGGTCATGGGAAGGGTTATCTGTAAGCGGTATATTACCTAGATTCTTGACTATAGATGATTGGTGATATTCTAATAGTTTGAAGATGAGGTTTTTGGTTATTGTCTTTAAGTCTTCGGAAGGTTGCAGGCAGAAAGAGGAAGAACATTATGTGACAGTTTCCTTTGTGTGGACACCTGTAACCTGATTGGCCGCTTTGTTCATTTATAATGTTATTTGTTACATTACTTTGTTTTGTTTTGTTTTTTTCTCTCAATTGTTTTGATGCTGAGGGACTAAAATAGAAAGAGAATGCATAATACTCGCCTCCGTGTCATTAATAAAATCATGACTTTACGTCATGTAAATAGTAAAATCTTGGAATTTGTGCTGCCTTAGGCATGAAAGAACTCTGACACCCCCTAATTTAAATTTACCACACCTTTTCCTGTCAAGACCACACTTCTTCCTGTTAAAGACTAACACACACTTTGACTGATAGACACACGGTGGCTCACTCACTGACAGACACTCAGTCACTTACACACACAATCACTCGGACACACTCACTGACAGAGATACACGCGCCCACAGACAAACAAATACACACATTTTCCCCCCAACACTCACAAGTTGTTTTATAAATAAATTTAAATCCACTCAGCCTCCTTACCTTTGGAAGAGCTGGGTGGATTTGTACCTGGGGTTCAGTGGGGCTGCTGAGCTGGCTGTTGGTCGGGCTGCTAGACGCGCAGGGAGGCAGGCAGGCGGGCGCGCAAAGTATGCAGAGAGGAAGCTGTGATCTTCTTACTCAGCTCCCTTGCACGCCGCTTAGTAAGTAGTCAAACCATTTTAGAAGAGTTGGACTTCTTACAAAGAGTTTACTGGGCACCATCCCTGCCTCCATTGCGTTCTAAAGGGAGCCAAAAGCTCTCTGATCTAAACTACAGTACAGTACTTTGCTCATTGGGTGAAAGAGTAGAAATGAGCTTTAAAAATGTAGAAGACTTGTAGGTCAAAATGGTGTATATTTTATTAGTTTACTTGATCTAGTTTGCAAACGTAATGTACATATGTACACAGATCGTAATCCATTATGGAATGGTTATATATAAACAATGTTTTGTCACAGTGCTCCCCGGCATCAATGCTGAAAAGGTTGGATCTATATAATTTATATAGTGTAAAGGTATTGACCTCATCATAATAAATGTGACATCCAGTAAATGTACTTAAAGGGACACTATAGTCACCTAAACAACTTTAGCTTAGTGAAGCAGTGTGTGTGTGGAGATCATGCTTCTCAGGTTTCACTGCTCAATTCTCTGCCATTAAGGAGTTAAATCACTCTGTTTATGCAGCCCTTGTCACACCTCCCCTGGCTCTGATTGACAGAGCCTGCATGAAAAAAAAACTGGTTTCACTTTCAAGCAGATGTAATTTACTTTAAACAATTGTATCTCTTTTTCTGTAAATTGAACTTTAATCACATACAAGAGTCTCTTGCATGGTCTAGTAAACTATTAACATATGAGGGGATAAGAAAATATAAATTAAACAGAACTTGCAATAAAGGAAGGATAAACTGTAGATGACTCTTTACAGGAAGTGTTTAGGAAAGCTGTGAAAGTCACATGCAGGGAGGTGTGACTAGGGTTCATAAACAAAGTGATTTAACTAAATGGCAGAGAACCGAGCATTGAGACTGCAGGGGCATAATCTATACACCAAAACTGCTTCATAAAGGTAAACTTGTTTTGGTGACTAGTATCCCTTTAAATGTTTGATTACCACCTCATGGTCTAATTATACAGATCAAATGTTTTACAAGTTGTGTTATTAAATAGCATTTAGTAGACTGACTCGCAAGGCAAACTACAAGTGAGGTTCAATTATGTATTTTAGAAACAAAAGCAAACTTACAACTGTACTGTAAATACGGTTGGTTGTGTTAGGGAAATTGTTAAATGAGAACCACTTTAAAATAATTGGCTGCAACTGACTGACGCTTCATTGTGCACTTTCAGGACCTGTAAAGTATTGTACTTTTATTATAATACGGACTAGGAAGAAACAGAGGTGAGCTACTATTTGAAAATATTGAAAGGATGATTCTGGTCCATAATTAGCATTTTCTTACTTTGGACTGAAAAAAAAGATGCTTAGAAAAATACATTTAAATGTATACAGATAAATACAGGACCAATACCCTCTGTTCTTCTGGACTGAACAAAATAATGTGTAGGCATACCATCTTTAAACATGATAATTTTCATTTTATTTTTTTTCTTGCTGTTCTCTGGTTTAACTATGTCTATATGTTTGAACATGATATGCTTCCATTTTTATTTTTTTTTGCTTTGGTTTTAATCTAAATGTTTTTATTCTGTTTATTGCATATCCATAGTCATGATCTAAGATGACATAAAGAACTCATTTGAGACCTGTCTACAGGATGCTTGTGAGAGCCAATTACATACAGCTTTAAATGAGTTATCTTTGAAAAATGTGACTGTATTCACTACTCCCAAGCACAGAATAGTTTGTTTATTCATCAATGATCACAGCCTCCCTGCCAGTGTTTCACACCACAATAAAATCCTAAAGAATTTTTGAATTTCTTAGTAGCTCTCTCTGCTATTTATCCCGGCTTTGTACATACATATTCTTGCAACATCTGTGTGTTACGAAAATAGACATGTATTTATTTATTTTTTTATTTTTTGCAATCCAATTGTTTGAAACGTAACAAATCTAACTCCCAAATTCTTCAAATACATATTTTTTTTTATTGTTCATTTCTTCCTAAAAAAAATATTCTGTTTAATTCCAAACCTATCTTGGAACTTTCGATTTGAGTGGTTGGATGGGGCAGTGTAAGTTATTAATTTTAACATCCAATTCTAATGTGAAATAAGCCGGGTGGTTTAGACACAGATAGTTCTGTTTTCATAAAGGAAAAAAAATGTAAGTGGCCTTAGGTCAGCTGCATTGATTTAATGCATTACTTAGACTGCCAGAACTGAGGTAGAATCTCCTTAGACTGCATCAGGAGAGCCTCAAGCCTCTGTGATTCCTTTTGATCAAATCTCTGTGAAAGATGAGTGTCATGCCCTCTTCGAGCCAGCTGTGAGGGGACTGCCCTGTGACTGAGAGCATGCTGGAACACAGCACACCAGGGCCACTGAGGTGAGAGCGTGCTGCAGAGGTGAGACAGACAGACACAAACTTACAGGGCCCAGAGAACACCAAGTGGGAGGATCTCATTCCACTCCCCTGTGCACAGTGTTAGCATTCATCAGACCTTGAGGTGCACATATTCAGACTAAGAAGAGGCTAAGAAGGCGTGTGATGTTCTGTTTTAGTACTTGTACAGACAGGAGTCCGCTTCAAGTACATAGCTGGAGTACTCATTGAGGGAATGAAGAACTGGCTGTGACCCTATTATCATGAAAACCCCCTAGTAATGGACAAAGTAAGAAACTTTTTTGTTGTTGCTGTGACTTTGTGTTTTGTTTTATTTATTTTTTATCTATTGTTACAAATTGTGTGCAGTTTTAAAAACCTTATCGTAAAGAACCAAACAGTGCATTTTTGTTTTTAGAGTTACATTGATTTATAGAGATTTTGTTTCTGATAATAATATATATATTTTTTTATTATTATTTTTAAATTTTTTTTGTTTGTTTGGTTTTCAAATGTCTATTTTAATTTTCTGCTTTGGATCCATGTGAATATGCGACACTGTGACTCTGACAACTGAGTGCTTTACGAAAATGTACTAATGCTGTGAAGCAGGGTTGCTCATAAGAGCCAGGCAGTAAAACCCATTTTCCTGAAGTCCTTTTCAGTATTATTAGTGTCCAGCGGTATGTCTGTGTAAATTATGCATATGATGTTCTCCTTTTTAATGCGAGCCTGTTGCTGTCCTTCCTTAGAGCATACTTAGTTTTGTAGCCCCATTACATTGAGCGCACTGAAGATGACACCAGTATGAGCTATGGGTAGATGACAGCACTCACTTCATGAGCTCTTACAAGATGTTTGCGGTATATTTCACCATCTTAGCAATTAATGGACTGCATTTATACGCTGCCTATAGTACTGAATACATTCCAGCTTCTATTGAAAGGAGGTAGATGAAATGAAAGGAAAAGGGTGTACATTTGCAGCATTACTCTATTCTATAAAGAATAATCAATACAGCAAAAGATTTCTTTAAACATATAAAATCGATGTTAATTTTCTAAGCTTGGCGTAACACTTGTAGTTCAAAAGGTTTGGAGTGGATTTTAATGCTAGCCTAAAACAAACCCTACCCACCCCCCTCCCCCCCCCAAAAAAAAAATCTCTTGTCACTGGAGTTCAGGTGTTTTTGTCCTATTCGCTGGTGTAAAGAGTTAATCAGTGGTTGTCTCCCTTACGATACTTTCCTGGAGAATTCCAAATCCTCTAGCTGACTGGCTTTTTGAACTGGAAAAGCTTATTGTTTGCCTTATCTCTTCGGTGAGCTAACTTCTGTTCTCTGCTAGAGCTTCAGGCGTGTTGGGCTGCTTCATGTTCTTCTCAGCCTACAAGTGAAGTCAGCTTCATTAGTTTCATGATGGTACATCAGTACAGGGTTGGTGTTTGCCGCTTCCTCCCAGCGAGTCCTGGAGCATGATCTGGGCTGCCTAGGTTTGGATAGGCTTGTAAGGATTTGTCAGCCAGATGTGACACGATTGTCAAGAGGCAAGTAAAGGAGGAGATCTGATATTAATCAGTGCATAGCTGGAAGCCAAACTTTCTCAAAGCCAGTGTAGAAACATGTTCTTCTCATTTGCTAAGCCTTTTTTCTTGCTACAGAGCTGCCACCGTCTCTGCTGCATGCTTTGTTGGAGTACAAAGTGGGTACCGGCATTTAGAAAAATTAAAACATTTTTTATGTGCAGATCTTGTTGCAAAAGCAAACATGGACCGCGAAAAAACCTTTCCTTTTTTTTTTTTTTTTTATTATATATTTTTTCTTTTTCTAGAATATATATAATTCTTCAGTTAGATTGTATTGTAAACTAACCATCTGACTTAAAAAGAAAAGTATGTTTAGTCCCTTTTCCCCCATTACTTTGAAATAGATTTCAGTTTTTCTGGTCAGTGGTGTTGTCTTAACCCTTACTGTGTCAGATGGCCCATGCAGTGCTGTGCACTTTTAAGTCTGAGAGAATTTTTCACTGTTTGTGCTCTTAAGTCCTGCTGCGTAGAATGACAAAATGGGTCTAAACATGTGTGAAATTTGATGTACACTACCCCTGCCTGACCTGCGACATAGTTTAAGGCAGCCTGCAAGCATATATTTCCAATTTGTCTATACAGTAGCCCCATTCATACCTTAACAATGTAATGGTATATCTTTCATTCAAAATGACAAGTTTGTGTATGTGTAGCCCTATCCCCTCTCCTCCTCTGTTCCAATTCAGTCGATTTAATTGCATTTCTGTGTTTATGGAAAAAGTCACTTTTTAAACAATCCAACTTATTCTCAAATATTTTTAGATAAAATCAAAGGACTGATGGCTTTTCTATATTGAACATCTCAGGTAATTCCTTAGTACCCCTGCAAAATATTGGACAGTGCCTTTGTGGTAGAGAATAAGAAGGTGATAGATGTTTGGAACATTCTACTACTTGAGTGACCAGAACAACAATGCACAATGATGTGATCATGCTAGAACCGAGAGTCTGAGTTGTCAGAATCATGTAGTTAATACCAAATTGTTCAGAAAACCTTCTGTGCATAGCAGGAAGTCTTAGGGGTTTATTTACTAAATCGTTAAATGAAAACGAAACCGGTTAGGTTAAAAACCCGATGATTTGGGCAAATTTGCCTGCTTGTCTACATTTTCAATATGTTTTTTAAGTTCACTGCAGCTCAGTATTTAGCGAATAAACCCTTTACATGTTAAGTGCCACATGGGTATCTCATGGCTCTCTGAATTTGACATGGAGTTATAACTTACCCTAATTTTACTCCATTAATGTTTTGTTCAATCACTTCTTTCTTTAATGCTTTGCAAGTCAAAGGGAGTTGATGGGTTGCTATGACTTGCAATGTCTTGTCATTCCCTGTGTCCAGGCAATCAAAGGATGTCTCCTCTGTTCTACCTTTTGTGCCTGGCCTTGCTTTGTCTTCACTCGTCACCTCCATCACACTACCTTTATAGAGCCCTTGTCCATTAGTACATTTCTAGCTGTCAGGACCATCATTTTAAATCAAAATGTCTCTCTGCTTGGCTACAATCTAGCTAGCAGCCTTCTGTCTCGAGCAACACACTGATAAACCTATTGTCACTTGAAAGGTGTTAGAAGTTGTCTGTCAATGTACTTCCTTAGAATAATGCATTTCAAGACTCACAATAGGTCCTGGTAAACTCCAGAGCACTTTCTAGTGCATTGCAAGGATGAGCAAAAAACAACAATTATTGGTTTATTTAATGTGTGGTTTCTCTAAGGTTGTATTCTGTGTAGATTTCATGATTTTCAACAGTTTGCACAAGAAAATACTTCAGACGCACGGTGACTCTTAACACTTACCTGCCACCTAAGATCTTTCAGGGCTATTTACTCAAGTGGGAATTATTGCACTTCAAAGCTGAATTTTTAAATTTTAAGGTTGAACTGGTAAAGTTCTCCAAGCAGCATTGCTACCAGTTTGACTATTTTGACCTTACCTTTAAAATTCACTTTGAATTCTCAGCAATTCTCTCTTTAGTGAACAACCCAGTTTATCCAGGAATGCATGTATTTTTTAAAGGCATTTATACTCGTTTGCCATAGACATACAGTAAAAATGTGAACTGCACAAAAACCGAACTACAAAAATCCTTTTTAATCTAAAAAAAATATATATACACATTGTCACCTGTGTCCTCGACACATCCTCGTTCTCATCAGAGGATGAGCAAAAATTCACTGAGCAAGCCCCCACCCTGGCCCTTCTGGTATATATGTGCCCTGGATTGGCCAGTCCTTGTCTTGTCAAGGGAAAAAAAATAATTAAATGCCACTATTTTACTGCTCTGTACATAACCTTCCTTAACTTTCTGAAGCTGGAGGCATGATAGGAGATGTGGTCCTTTATAGCTGGAGTGACTGAGGCTTTCCATTGATGCTGTGACATTGCATGTACTGCTCTACTATTTTCTGCTCCTCATTTGATTTCCATGCATAAAGGATTTAAACTGGATGCCATGAGTAAAACGTACTTCAAGGCTTTATTTGACTTTACGTGTTGAAGACTTTGACTGCAAGTTTGTGATGAAAGGTCACGATGGGACATGTAGTCTGCTTTGGCTGGACTGCTAGCGGCTGTCTTTTGTGTCTGGTTACTAATAAATAGCAAAGTTGGTGTGGTTACAAGCCGCTTAGCTGTACCTGTGCTTAAAGTGGATGTGTCATACTCACAGAGGTGTAGAAAAAGGCCCCTCCAGGTTAGTGATATAATTCAACCTGTGTACATTGTTCTGGCAAAACAAACCCTTATTAAAGGGGAACTGCCACTTCTCTGAAATTTACACCATTAATTAAAACATTGGAAATCACCTATAACAAGTGTTAACCATTTTTTTTTCATGTGATGTTCTGTTTTACATTTTTATTAAAGGTTTAGTAAATTACGTCATAAACCAGTTGAGACAAGGCAAAGCCAGCACAAACATTGCAAGTGAAGAGGAGCATTTGAAACCATGTTTAATTTATCTTCTTTTTTTTATGCGGAATGCCAGGTGCATAGGATGGCGTTTAAAACCATGATTGACAGAGAGCTAAGATGGAAGAGCCAGATTGCAAGATAAAGCGTTGTGGATATATGTTTAATTTTATTTTTTAACACCTCACAATTCCATGTTTGTTAAATATTGGGGATGAGTATACATAGTATTAATAATCAATCTTGGGATGTCAAACTTCCCCTTTAAATATGTATTGGACGTCTCCTTCTTGGGCTGTGTGGTGGGGACAGAGTGTTGGGATTTTTATGATACACAAGTGCACTTTCTACAGCAACTGCAACGGCATACATCATCGAATAGATGTTATAAATATGTAACATGCAATAAACTGTTAATCTACAGTATATTTTTTCCAACAGTTTTTAGACATTGCGCATCATTTCTATGCTATACTAAACTTTAGTGAGAATCGCAAACCATGGTGACCATTGCTGATTTACAATGCATTTGTTTGCAATTCTGGTTGCAAATCTACAAATCCGTTTTGATGCTGTATGCACAAAGTTGATTTTGGATGACAGATTCACTTTAATCCACGTGTGCTCAAAGGAGGGGGGGGGGGGTCTGGAGACTCCTGACTGAAGACTGACTTTAAGATCCTATGATTTAATGGGTTTACAGGTCATTCATATTAATCCCAATTTATTATTAATTTATTATTTTTTATTTTTTTTAAAAACCTTTTTAATCTGGCATTTTCACTAATCTATCATCCTTGTTTGGTCTTAATCATCTACATGAACAATTAGTGCTTCTGCTGTGTGCCCTGGTTGAGCTAGCAGATCAGCCTAGCGGATATTTTAGTTTGTTTAATATTCTATTTAGAGAAGTAACGGAGAGTTACACACCTTGTCATATGAACTTCTTTGGACCAGAGAGGCCTGTAATACTGGGTGATAAAACCTAGAATTCTACGGTATACTTTTTGCCAGCTTCAGTGGATAAGAAAATCAAATACATAATACAATGTTCTTGAAATCGCCTTATGTAACTAAATATAAACTAATAAAATATATATATATATTTTTTTAAATTACATTAATTTTGTATATGTGCGCCTATCGATGTTCTACGGTGCCTGTTACTTTGAATCATTGAGACAAACCACAGAAATGAAAATGTGGTTGGATGATTTATCAATTCTATTGACTTTTTTTCATTCTGCAAGATCTTGGTTGATGCAGTGATTTTGGTTGTAACCAGTAGTGTAGCACAATGATATATGAATATTCCACTCATTCTATGGTCAAAAGAACCAGAACACTCCAATATGAACTTGTACTTGTCACTCTCAACGAAAGTGATCATACTCTTCAATGAAAAAAAACAAATGCACTTGTCCATAAAGACGTGAAGAATCAGTCACTGCTCTGGGAAAATGAGGTCATTTCTCCAATGTGAGATATATTGAAAAGCTTTTGGTCCAGTGAAGTGTTGCCTGTTACTGTCCTAAATTCAGAACAAATACACCTGCTGAAACACAGGTGCCACAGAATAATTTAGAAGCTGAGTAGGTTTCATTCACTGCTGTAAAACCTCTCACCTTGGTTTTTTTTTTTTTTTTCTTTAAAGCCTCATATGATACAGCTGCCTCTTTGCAGGATTTAGCAACACTGCAAATATTGGCATTTTAACACCATTTAGTCCATCTCATATTAATACAGCGATACCTTTTCTTTATATTAAAACATAAAAGTAAGCTTCTTCATACATTTTAACATACTAGTTTCATATGTCTGTAGAACAAAAAAAACAAACCTCAAATTACAAGTGTTTCACATAAAAACAAAAAGGAAGAATTTGTAGCTATTGGGCAGAGTGACAGTTTACAAGATTATTATTGAATAGCAACAGTTCACATTCAAATGTGAATATTGGCATAAGATCCCATGATTACAGTGCTATAATGTAAACTTGTTTAAAAATAGTGTAACACAATTATTGCCCCGTTTTTCAACTTTACCTGGCTCAATAAGAATGCTACCCTGCTCAGTTGGTGCTGGGTGGATTGACTGGCTGAGGATTGTTGGAGACACAGTAAAAGCATCTCTTATTCTCATAAACCCTAAGCTTCCTGACTCTTAACACAATCCAAAACCTCAAGCCTAACTCATGTACTCGTAACACCGCATTCTAAGTGACATAGTTTCCCATTGTACAGCACTGCGGAATCTGTTGGCTCTTTATAAATATTAATAATAACTGTGTAATTCAGTAATTTAACCATGTTGACTGAGAACAATTTAAATGAATATCCATACAATGGGGATGATGAGCAAAGGTTTTGATTTAACTTTTTTGAATGTTACTTAATGGGTTAAGGAGTCCAGTTTTTTGTTAAGTACTGTAACTGTGCTTGATCATTGATTGTTTGGTCCTAGAATCCTAACATTAAAGTTTTAGTTTTATTCTCCAGTGTTCTTACACAGCACTGGTATGGTTAATCGTGAAATGATGCAAGATCAGAGTGATCTAATCCCTTCCTGTGTGCGTTAGCCATTATTGCTCATCTGTTAATTGATATCGAGACATGACTTCCATAGTACAAGTATTTCTTGTGTTCTGGCATTTTCCACCTATCTGATTATGCTCGCATGTGGGATAGCAGCATCTTCTGAAGACTGCCGCATGGGTCATGATATCACAGTGTTCTCGAATCAGCCTGATTGTCTGTCTGTTACTCATCTAAAGCAGCAAAATATATATATTTTTTCAACCGATTCTTTGCAGCCAAAACACAACACATACCTCAAGATGGTACCTCCACCACTATGCTTTACTTTCACACTGCCATCGTTGCTTTTAACCCTTTTGTGACAGATGATGCGCCAGTAATGTTTTGATGATATGGGATTTGCCAAACCCCTTGTCTAGCAGAGGTTAAACCTGATTTGCCATTCTTAAAGCTGCAAAGTTCTTCCTGCTTTAATTGGAAAGCAGATTTCTAAAATAAAAGTAGCTGCAGATAAGGACACCTATCATTTAAAGGAACACTATAGTCACCTAAACAACTTTAGCTTAATAAAGCAGATTTAGTGTATAGAACATGCCTCTCCGGTTTCACTGCTCAATCCACTGCCATTTAGGAGTTAAATCACTTTGTTTCTGTTTATGCAGCCCTTGTCACACCTCCCCTGACTCTGATTGACACACCCTGCATGAAAAAAAACTGGTTTTACTTTCAATCAGATTTAATTTACCTTAAACATTTTTATCCCTTTAAGCCATAAGGACTCTAATGTTATGCCATTGGAGCCTACAGAAAGTCTTCAATATAGAAAGCAGAACTTGTGTACCCATCCCGCAAGTTTACCCATCAGTGGCTTGCCCCTTCTCTACTCTATGCATACCATCTGTACTAGTGTTAATACTGCCAATTCTTGACCTCGATATTTAACGTTTTATTGATTACATATTCACTACCTCTTAAATGCAAGCTATGTAGTTCATGCACTATACCAATTCATAGTTAGATACATTAGATAATTATTAACACTTCCAGTCAGTCTTTAAGTGTATAGACCAAGGGTAGGCAGCCTTTGGCAAGCCAGGTATTGTGGACTATATCTGCCATAATGTTCTTATAACCATTATTCCGGCAAATCATCTGCCTACACATGGTAGAGTGACTATCCTCCATATCACTGGACCTAAGCCTTTAGGTCAGAACTCATATGTGGATCCCTGTGCTATATTACTGGGGCAACTCTTGTAGGAACAGGCACAATTTATTCACCAAAACCAATGGGAGAGTTTTCCCAATACCTGAAGCTGAGATTACTGAAGTTTTTTGTTTTTTTAACTAGAATTTTTTTTCCATATATTATATTGTATTATATTAAAATAAATAATATCCAAACTGATAGATTGCTAAGCTAATTTAGCAATTTTAGAATGGGTAGCCAAAGCTGCTACCGTGTGCATAACATGGGTCCCTGTCAAAAAACAATAACGGCTACCTTATAAACATTTAGTCGGGTTGGCCAAAAGGTACTGCATGGACACGAATATTCTGTGTAAACTTTACTGAACAGTTATAAAGTAATAATAGAGAGAACGTAGGTATGCAGTAAATGTATACACAGTACATCATCACGACTGTAGGTCGAGCAAAATAAATATTTAGATCATAAGCAAATACTACAAGGTTTAGGTCATCCGCACACACAGCTAATGTGTGCAATAGAAATGCATTATAGGAAACAATAAGGTGCTAACAACTCATTTGCCAGTTCTTTGCTAAACATTAATTTTGTTCGTGGATATTTACCCACACATTTTATTGCTACATGTCATTACTTTATAAAGGATATATATCTATATATAGAGAGAGAGAGAAAGAGAGTTTGTTTGTTTAAATTTTTTGGTTGATGATCATGTTAAAGTTGAGCATTGGTTCTCCTCAAGATCCAGCTGTTGTAGATCTACAATTACCATGATGACTTGCCAGCCTTGTTCAAGCAAAGCTTTGTGGGAGTTGTAGTTCTGCAACCTTTTCACCTCGTGAATCCAGATGCAGTAAACCAAAAAAAAAATTTAGACCCCTTTTAAATTTTTTTTAACCTTTTAACTGCAAGACTCGTGTGTCTGCTTGTTCACAGTCCCTGGTTAGTGTGATAAACATTGAAAATTCCTTTAAAAAAATTAAATTGGGTGCAAGGGTTAAAGTCTTTTGATGCTCCACAGAAGTCATTATTTTTTACACGGTAAATATCTCTAAGTAGGGTGGTAGCTGGTCAGGAATGTTTGCCAAGACGTGTTTTCAAAAAGTAACTTGACCTTCTGTTTTGTGTGTTAGTGAGTGCGTTCCGGAGAATGAGATTCAGCTGTTTGCGGGGAAGGAACAGAGCACAAAATGAATGAGGTATGTTTTCATCCGCTTTTAACACTTTACCATCAAATGTTTCGGTATTTGTATTTTCTTCAAACAATAAAGAAAAGATAACTGTAATTGGACCCACACATACACCTAACTTGTGTGGGTGCCTGGAGTGACCCAATGTGTGTATGGTCGTAAACAGATAATTTAACACCATATAATTCTTGTAGGCTTTACACAAATTCTCTAACAGTAAAGGAAACGTTGCTGATGAAACGGTAACTGAGAATTTGAGACTATTTTTGTTATGCTCTCCTAATCTGTTTTCCACTCCTTTAGCAGAAGGAATGGTTTTCCTCTGAGAATTAATGGGATATTATGCTTTGAAAAATGTGGAGACTTAATTATTTTTGGAAAGTCTGTAGTACTCCCTGTGCTTTTGATGTTGCAGCTGCACGTTTTTAGGTATTTGTGAAAGGTAGTTGGCCACCTTCATTTTGGCAACCTCGCACCAGGTAGCTTTTTTTAAATATTTTTAATACATCATGAGGTAGAAAGTGAGCCATTACATCATAATTTATTTATCTCTTGAAACTGTATGCAAGCGATTTCAGAGTTGGACTGTCCACAGAAACTTTTCAAGAAGATTCTTCGTATTCAACAACAAATGCAAACATCAATTAAAACCTTGGGATTTGTTACACATTTTATGAATACATAAGGAACTATTTTTCTTATGTAATGTTTATAGTCCGTCACATTTTTTATTTTAAATCGGAGTAACTAGGACATTATTCCAGTCTAGAACCTTCAATTTTTCAGTAAATCTAGATCCTTTAAGATTCGAGATAGGGAAAATAGTTGAATGTTCGCTATCCTTTTGACAATACCACACATTAGGGATAAATAAATAAATGCAGTACAAAGTTCTCCGCATGGATTGCAAGCATGGCATATATGCTCAGTTAAACAATTTAGCTCAAAACAACATTGGTGTTACCAAATGGTCCATTTTGAGTATTTATAATGATAGGTTTTGATGAGATTTTTATATATATATATATATATATAGCTCCTCTTGTTTAGCACATCTGATACATATATAATTATCAGGCATTCATGATAACATTGTAGTCTGAAGATCTGAGCACCTGCTTACTGGGTGTATATACATGAGGCATCACTACATTTTCACTCCCTACTCTGCACAGTGTCATGGCCATCCAAGACGGATTTGGTAGCAATTATGTGGAAGTTGCACCAAAGGGAAGGAGAGTTTAGAATGAACAGAATCTCCTATGAAGTAGATACATATAGTGATACAACTAAAGTCGGGATACCAGAAATGAAAATTGTTATAGGGATGTTCTAAGCAACATAACCACTACAGCTAAAGTTAATGATTATGGTGCTGTAAGTCTGAATGTGCTGTCCACTAGGTTTCTGACAAATCATTTTGGAGTGGTGAAACTAACTGTAACTCTTCCTGTGACCCATAGCCAACCCATACTGTAGTTGCAATGAAAATGTGAAAATTGAATACCAACATTATCCATCTAAACCCATGGACTAAACTGCCCAGCCCATTTTACAAGCCAATGAGGTCAATATATGCTGCTGGGATAAGGGCAGAACATGCAGTGTCAGGGAGACCGAAGTCCTAATAGTTAGGCCAAGTCACAACAGAGCATTTGAATCCTACAGAGCTGTTCACATGAACAAGAACAGCTCAAGTGCCCTAAAGCAAGGGAGTAGCTGGCTTATATAGGCTGAATCCCTGCTGTGTGATATCTGTGATTAAGAAAGATATGTCAACACATATATGGAGAATACACAAAAGTGTATGCTGAAACAGATGCAGGGATGGCTTGCATCATTGTAATATGGATTACCAACAGCAGTCCTAAAAAGGCACAGCTAGAGAACATAGATCTTAAAGTACAACACAAGGCACCCTGAGTATCCTGAATGGATGTTAAAAGGGACATAATGTACACAGTGTTAAGGTTACACAGACCAAGAACTGGAAAATGCTTATATGTTATATTCTGTCAGGTTTATAAGGACTGGTAGACACTGCCAGGTTTAATGGGGATAAACCCTAATATTTAACCTATTAGACAAGGCGAAATAAATTAAAATAGTTAAGATGGAGTTAAACAGGCATCTAATATTTTTGCTGTTTCAAGGGGCAGACAGTTTTCTGCTGTACTACCCTAATGGTCTAGTTAATAGCCAAAGGCTTCTGTTTGTGTTGATTTAGTTCCAAAAATATTGTGTTTAGGTGTATGTAATATAATGTCCCATTCAGTAAAGGAAGTGTAATTTGTAGGGATGTTTCGTAAGCTTTTCTGGAAATTCCAGACCTGTTCTTTCCCCCATGTGGCAGAAAACTGTGGACAGTCCAATATCACAGGTCTAGCCTGCCGTTGATGTGTATTATTGTCAATTGGAAATCCATCATTTTCGGTTATTTATGGATTGGCACGGTATCCAGATGGGAGGGAAACATGCAATGTGTTCTCATGTAACTGTCACATTTGGAAGCCATAAAATTTTGGGTAACATCTGGTATTCAAGCCGCCGTGGTGTACATCATTGATTACTAGCCGCTGTGCCACACTCAAAAGGGGAAAAGGAGTGTGTCTATAGTTATCTATAAACCCCTGCTAAGTAGGTATTTTTTGAATGCATAGTTCAACACATGGCAGCAGTTCTATTTTACAGTATTTGTGATGGCTGATAAGTCACTATATAGCTGGTATCTGTTTAGAGATGACTACTCTGTTTTATGAATGGGGCTATAGATGTGGCTGCATGCCTCAGTGAAAATTCTGAAGGAGTGTTTTTACAGGAGGTGGGGACACGCACCACTCAAGTTGTGGTACAGATGGGGGAATCAAGCCATGTGATATCTATTTTCCAGGTTAACTAATTCAGAATAGTAGAGAGAGTTGTTTTTTGTTTTTTTTGTTTTTTTTACAGATAATGTTTTATGTGTCCTTTTTAGCCAAGCTTTGCATGATTAGAGCTGACCAGGAACAAAGAATTTTGTTAAAATTGTCTTTTATTCTTGGTATGCAATAGGCCAAAGATGGGTCCCAGAAGTAGCAGGCTCCTATCTGTCAGAGTTGGTAAAAATTGAACAGAACCTTTGTGAACCCTATTTGATAACATTGGATCAGCGCTGACCATTTATTTAGATCAGCTTCTTTTGTTTAGCTCCCATATTACTCCCAGTTACTCACACATCAGTGCTTCTCTCATGTTCCTTTTTCTGTTTTACAGGCAATTCGGTGCACCCTAGTAAACTGCATTTGCCTGGGTTTCAAACCTGGAAAAATCAACACACGCCATTGTGACCAGTGCAGACATGGATGGGTAGCACATGGTAATGTGTTAAAAATTTGTTATGCTTTTATCCATTATTAGGTTATGCTTTTATCCATACTTTTTGTATTCTGTGCCTCATCTGTGATTTCTTCTTCTAGCCCTCAGTAAACTTCGGATCCCGCACTTCTATCCTAACAGTCAAGTGGAGATTGTTCAGTCCAGTGTAGTATTTGATATAAGCAGTCTAATGCTCTATGGAACCCAAGCCATTCCCATCCGTCTCAAAATCTTGCTGGATCGCCTGTTCAGCGTCCTTAAACAAGAAGAGGTTCTTCAGATTTTGCATTCACTCGACTGGACCCTTCAGGATTACATTCGGGGTTATGTGCTTCAGGTATCTAATAGTCAACCCTAACCTTTGGTGAAAAAAGAATGAAAAGAAATGTTCTGTAGGACCTTTCCACAAATAGAGATTTGCAGTTTCTAAACTGTGAAATTCTAAATTAAATTAAATTATACATGTGATAATGAATTTATCAAGAATAAACTATGCCAGTATGTTTTGTTCACAAAGCCTGTAAATTACAGTAGATGGACTCTAGGTGAAATTTCTCCCTATAACGTTGTTTTTGCCAGTCAAATCTAGCAAATTATGTTTTCAGTCCACTGTTCATTGAAAAGATCGCAGTGTATTGGTCCAGTTTTCTTTCCAGCTATTACTTTGTAAGTGCATTCCGCAGAATTAGATAATGGACGCATAACCACTACTTAGTGACATTGGAACTTTAGACATACTGAATCAGAATGAGAATTCGATTACATGTTTTAATTTGGAAACAAAGCCTACTCTGTCAGGGTTGTTCACTAAACTGAGAATTGTCCAGGGAATTGCAAATTGTAGGCCAAAGTAGCCAAGCTATAAATGTGTAACAGAGCTGGGATTTTTCCCTATTTGTCCTAAATTCTGTAATTCCCTGCCGAAGTTTTGACAATCCTGGGGTTTTAGCAAATAATCCAGTTTCGTTTTTCTTTAAGCCACTTCTGCTCAGTAAGAAAATTTGCAGCTCAATATGTGGACTAATGTTTCACTATGAATCTTTTCCCTTTTTTTCCCCAACGTTTTGAAGTCTACGGTATACCAGAAAATATAAACTTTTATTTCTATATTTTTTTTTTATGTTTTTCACAGATATATATTGGGGGGGGGGGGAAACTTCTTGCTAATTTTCATTTTGGTAAAAATGCTTTAGAGCTTTAAAACAACTCAATTTAGAACTACCTTTTTAATCTGTAAATCTGAACCATGTGAAACAAGATTTACTTGAGAACAGACCCATATGCCCCTTACAAATTATATGGGAGTTAGCATTTAGTCAGGACAATCCATGCACATGGTAACCTGCAGCCGGCCCAAGTTAAGCTAGGGCAATGAAATGCCTTGCAAGAGCATTTGTCTCCCGCTGCTTGCTCCAATTATGTTTTTATGCAAAGGTCCATTACAGTCTTATATCATGACACAGATCAATATTTAATGATCTGGATAATCATGAATTTTAGTGTTGGGATTAAAAATATGGAATCAATTATCTTGAACATCTACAGCATGAAAAAATTATGATGATACATTCCTCCGCAACCTGAGCACTCTTTCATGCTCTTCGAAAAGAAAATCTCTGTAGGCTCTCAAATACATGTCCTGTGATAAAATATTTATTGTAGTTATTGGGAAAATTTAGACATGGCCAATGTTTGCTAGAACTGCAACACTCAATTGTAATTACAGCTGCTTTTTGTGAACACTGGCAATAGATCAATAACAGTTCATTTGTTCTCTGGCCTTAGTTGCCTGGAAAATTATTAAGCTTGCAAGAAACAAAAAAAAAATACATGCTTGACTTAAATGAACAGCTAATCTAAGATCAAAATTGCTCTGATTTATATTCTTACATTAACTGTCCAACTTGAAATAATAAGATGTGAAATGCTTCTTAAAATATCATGTGCGGCCTTCGAAAGACAATAAGCATTTTTTTTCTTTGGTAAAGTTGCTAAAGAGCTCGCTAAAACTAAATGAGTTTAGCAGGTTTTATAATTGTGTAAAATGTGTGTATTCATAACAGTTGAAGTGATATACACTCCGCAACTGTTTAAGTACTAGAGTAGAAAGATTATCGAGTGTTGTGTTGCTCTGAAGAAATAGATGATACCCAGTTATTAATTTTGAACGTGTCCATGTGTTTCAGGATGCTGCTGGAAAAGTATTGGATCATTGGTCTATAATGACGGCAGAGGAAGAACTGGCTACTCTCCAGCAATTTCTGCGTTTTGGGGAAACTAAATCTATTGTGGAGCTAATGGCAGTGCATGAAAAGGAAGGGTATTCTGTTCTTGTTCCTACCACCAGAGCCAGTTCTGACATTAGGGCTTTTATTGAAAACAGCAGTCTAAGGAGCAGCCCCCTTCCACCACCATCATTGGAAAAAGCTTCACCATCGGGCATCCACCCGTTTGAGAGCATGATGAACAACATGGCTTTTACATTGCCCTTTCAGTTCTTCAGTCCTGTGCCTCCCCCACTAATAGGATCTCCACCAGAAAGGCCATTCAATGAAAGAGGTCAAGAAAGAGGGAATGAATACAAGCCAGATACCCACATATCATATTCTGAGAGCAGCTTCTTAACTTCCAGTTCTGCATCATTTCTTTTGGAAAATGAGTCCAGTGTGAGTGCTCAGGATGTCATTACCAAAACAGAAGACGATAGCCCATTAAGTGACTCTAGTTCACATAACACCATGACAAGCTATGACATGGCGTCCATTTCTCCAGAGAGTAAAATGAAGTCTGTTGATCGAAACGGCACTGGACCAAGAAAAGGTCGAGTCTTCTGCACTGCCTGTGAAAAGACTTTTTATGACAAAGGAACGCTAAAGATACATTACAATGCTGTCCACCTGAAGATCAAACACCGTTGCACAATTGAGGGGTGCAACATGGTATTCAGTTCTCTGCGTAGCAGAAATCGGCATAGTTCGAATCCAAACCCAAGGCTTCATATGCCAATGAACAGGAATAACCGTGATAAGGATTTAAGGAATGGCCTTATCGTCTCTGTATCTGAAGATCACAAAAGACTGGGATCAAAATCTTCCTCTGTGGACCACAGACCTCCTCCTAACTATGCCAGTCCTGGCACTGACTCAAAAATGAATTCTGGTGTTCTTAATGTTGGACAAAGTTGTGTGCTTATTCCAAATCTGAAAACTGTACAGCCTGTTCTCCCTTTCTATCGAAGTCCAGTTACACCTGCAGAACTTGCCAATACACCTGGTATACTTCCATCTCTGCCAGTTATTTCTTCTTCAATTACGGAAAAGCTCATTACCAATGATTTATCTTTGGATGCAATGCCTAAAAAGAAGTCTCGCAAATCGAGCATGCCCATCAAAATTCAGAAAGAGGCCGTGGATGTTGTAAGCGAAAACTCTGAAAATGTGGGTTCAGAAGAGGATAGCACTCCACAGTTGACCAGTGATCATGGCTTTGAAATACATGATAAAAACACAGAGACCAGGATTTCAGGTGAGCTAGAGAGAGGCCACATTCAGTCTCCTGTTTCATTTAAATTTCACAGCACTGAAGGACAACATGCTCAATCAGGGATGGATAAAGAATATCAGAATGCATCTTCTGACTCAGAAAATGAATTTCCACAATTAGAAACGGAGATTAATCACAAACAAGACCATGAGTTAAAAATGGATTCCAGTGAAAATAAATATGAACACTCAAACCACTTTAATGTTGCAAAGCAGTTGGCTGAACCTTCCATGTATAATAATGAGCAGCCAAAACATACAAACTCTGAAAACGGTATTGAATTTCGACATTATCCTGTGAGTGTTGGCTATTTCGGTTCCATGACTCATAGGACCTCAGGCTTTGACTCTTTAGATAAAGATCACGGTGAGCAAAACATACGTATTCCAAAAGAGGAGAATCGCTTCCATTGTGAGATATGCAAGAAAGCATTTAAAAACCCATACAGTGTTAAAATGCATTACAAAAATGTACACCCCAAAGAAATGCATTTATGTACAATCGATGGTTGCAATGCAGCTTTCCCCTCCAGGAGAAGTAGAGACAGGTAAGCAAAATTTGAAGTTTCAACCTGTCACACTCAACTGCAAGTTCTCTGCTTTTGTAAATATGATTAACTTTACACCAAACCTGCATGTCTGTGTATCTGTCTTATGGTGCCTAGAAGGGAACCTTATGATATCCTTAGCTGAAACTGACCTTTCCTGATGCCTCCATCTTCCTTTTTCAACTCCTGGAGCAAAACTATAAACATTTTTAGTCGAAATTGCAGGATCCTCCTCCTTGTGCATATACAACGAGGTAACAGACATATAATATCACTCAAGATTCCTTTTTTGTCAAGGAATATATAGGTACTAAATAACTATAAGAATCTTTAAATGGTTGCTCTGAGCACCAAAGTAGTTTTAAGAAGCCATTTTGGTGTATAGATCATGCCCCCGCCGGCTAAATGTTAAATTTTCTGCCTTAATATCAATTTGTTTATGTGGTACTAGTCATATCTGCCCTGGCTGAGACTCACACAAGGTCCCTACACACTTTCTGAAAAAGAAATGCAAATATTGTAGTTTTCATTTTTTGAAGTTATCTCATGTCTTGTTAATTGCCTTCTAAACTTTACAGCAGCCACCTGTGTATGATTAAATTACAATTAACAGAGCAGGGGATAATTTCTTTTTATGAGTTTCTGCCAGGGGAGGTGCGGCAAAGGGTGCATAAACAAAATTATTTAACTTCTAAGTGGCAGAGAATTGAGCAGTGAGACTGTAGTTATATCAGCTATACTACAAAAGTCCTTTTATTAAAGCTGTACTGTCAACCCTCAACTTCCCCTCCCCCCTACTCAGACAGCCACTAGAGGTGCTTCCTGTATCAGTGGGGCACAACGTAGACTGAATGGAGAATCTGAACATTTATTACATTACATGCTCTGCATGGAGATGTAGAACATTCCTGCTAGAGATGGATTGATTCAGTGCATCTCTATGAGGAGATGTTGATTGGCCTGCGTGGTGTTTGGCTCCACCCACACCCTGCCTCCTTAGCTGAGATTGTCGATTCTGATGATCTTAGCCATTTGGGCAGAGCAAGTGCTGGAATAAAGATGAGATTTAACCCTTTAGTGTTTTTAACCTTATAGGGTCAGGAATACATGTTTTGTATTTCTGACCCTATAGTGTTCATTTTGCTTTGGTGTCCATAGTTATAGAAGGTCCCCCACATCCAGCCATAAAATGCAAGTTAAAAAAAGTTCTTTACTTACTTTTTTCCAGCACCAAGGCTCCCTTGGTGCTGCTTATCTCTTCTCCTCCCGCAACATCATGTTGGACGCATAGCCTCTTCTGGCATCGTCTAATACAAAGCTCCTCATACAAGGAGCATTGGGCACCTGATGCACATGTGTGGCAAGTGCAGTGCATGCATCCAAGGTTTTCCATAATTTTCCATAGAAAATTGTTGTGGCTTTTTTTTTTTTTTTTGCATTTAAGGTAAGCATTGCTGTGTCTGCACAACGGAAATGTTTTATATTGAATGTTTAAAATTACAGGACCACTGCACCCAGACTGCTTTATTGGCGTATAGTGGTCTGGGTGACGTTAGTGGTCCTTTAAATGGGCATAGTTATGGGCAGTGTTACTAAACAGCTCTCTTCTTTAAGTTTAAAATATGAAGCATTAACAATGATTGACATGATCCCATTCTGAAACCTATATTATAATTCCATACCACCTGACTCCTAGCTGAACAAAAATGTCCAAACAATTGAAATAGCTGTCCTGAGAATGTAACTTAAATGGGAACTGTACCTTCCCAGGATATTTAAAGTTATATTGACTTATCCCTTACATTTAACAAATCTATATGTTTGTGAGGTCTAAAAGATGCAAATAAATGTAGAACTTGACACTGCTTTATTTAACTTATATCATAGAGCTAAGCAGCTCCATATCAATCCTTATTATAAACTCTGTCCTTTGTACCTGTCTGTCGGCACAGAGAGAGGAGAACCACTATATTCACTAAAGTGAGAATCCTCCTCTAATGCAATATGTGCCTGGGCTGAACTGGTTTGTTTTGTCAAGTGATAAGTATTTAAAGAGTAAAATGTTACTTCTAGTTTTATTATTGTTAGTTTGTATGAATATAAAATTAAATTAAGAAATCCTGCCATGAAGTGCGTCCATCATAGCTCGTTGGAGAAAAAAAAACTATAGTGTTAGGAATACAAAGCTGTATTCCTAGCAATATAGTGTCCCTCTGCCCCTCCCCCACCTGCCCCGGCAATTATAGGGTTGAAACCTATGTAATTCAGGCACCACTTTCCAGTGCTGTCTCCGCCTCCTCCAGCGTCAACGGTGCATGCAAATGTGCAATGAGCACCGCACATGCATTAGGCCTTTAACATAGGAAAGCATTGAGTTAGTGCTTTTCTGTGTGGACTTCGCACAGCATGAGGACGTCCATCATTATTTCACGGAGTTAATCTCTGTGAAACAACAGAAAAGGCCTCTAGTAGACGGTCACTAGAGGCAATCTTAACCCTGCAATATAAGTATGGCCGTTTTAATGGAACTGCAGGGTTAAGGGGTAAGGGACAATAAACCCAGACCACTTCAATGAGAAGAAGTGGTCTGAGTGCCTATAGTGTCCCTTTAACGCAGGCTTTGGGTCAATGTAAAATACTTTATTATTATGTAATTATTTATATAGCGCCAACAAATTCCGCATCGCTTTACAGTGGGTGGACAAACAAACATATAGTTGTAACCAGACAATCTATTGCAATTTATAAATTCCAGAGAACTGGTGGTTCCCTATTAAAGGGACTTCCACTGTGTATCTTCCAATGGGAACTTTGGTATAAAATGCTCCCTATAGTCAGGGAAGTAGGCAATATAAATTTGACCAGATCGTGGTTTGCAAAAGCCATCCCATTTTGTTTAATAGCGAAGCAATGCATTAATTTGTTTTTTTAACTGTTGCTATCCCTATAGAGAAACTTAAACATCTGTAGATTATGAAGCCCTATTTTGTAACTATTTATATAGCATGACAATCAACAACTAGTAAATCAGATTTGCAGGTAACTGAAACCAAGCAAATTTGACACACCGGAACAAGAGGTGATAAGGTCTCATATGATCTGAAGATCTATTCTGTTACCTAAGCAGATTTTGCTACATAACTATAGGAAGGCTAAAGAGCATAATTTATTTATTTTCTGTTCAAACGTTTTGTTCTCAGAAATGTTTATAAATTGTGGTGAATTCCAAGCCTAATTTGCAATGTTTATATTGCAAAAATAGCAGAGTTGGAGGGGGGGATTATTTAGCTGTATTGGCTTTTGGCCCTAATTCTACAAATTAGAGGGGTTTTCCCGTAGTTCCATATAGCTCCCAATGGAATGGTAGTCAGCTATGAGTTGAGCTTTTCACATTACCTTCACGACCCCGAGGCTACAAAAAGCTGGTAGGCTCTCTGTGTGCACATGCAGCCTTTGATTTATTAGATATTTCCATAGGAGTATTTTTGTGTAAAAGCTTTCCTTTATTATCCAAGTACATGCAGTTATAAACTGGAATCCAGGTGTGTTTGCGGAAACTGAAAGAATGTGCTCACATTCTTTCCTTAGTTTAGGGTTACCCACACATCTAGCTCCTATAGCAATTAGTAGATGACAATGTTTCATACTTATTTTCTCATAGAAGGCTTCAAAAAGTACCCAAAGTGAATTAGCAGTTTGTGGTCTGCACAGTGTGTCATGTATACAGCATCACCTCTGATATTAGTGATGGGTTAGACGTGCAATGATTTACATACTGCAGATTTATGTGTGTGCACATTACTGTAAGTGTTAATATATACAGATATAATATTTATAGTATATTCACTATAGTCATTTGAATACTTCCCAGATCTGTCTGATGAGGTCTTCCCATAGTGCACTGTAGCCATGAATTTGTACTTTATAAAAAACAATTGTAAGGTAGATGCCAACATCCATGCCATTATAGATTTGAAATCCTGACTTGGCTATCAAAATAACCAGTAGATAATGTAAAATATGTTATATTCTTCACTTTTGAATTGTAATGCTGCAACATCGTTTAACTTTCCTTCTAATATTCTTGTATCTTGCAGGCATAGTTCTAATCTGAATCTTCATCATAAGCTATTGACCAAAGACACTGTGGAATTGCAGAACAGCTCCTACAGTATTCCATATCTTTTAAAAGATGTTACAAAGGGTTGCTATCAGGACTCTCCATTAAAAAACTCTGGGCAGACCTCTGTGATCTTCAAAGGGATGAACAGAACAGGCAGTCTGGTTTATCCCATGAACAAGATCAGAGAGTCTTGTTTGGACAGCTTTGGGGCAGACCCAGTCAATGACAGTGTTGTTTTGGATCTAAGCACCACTTCGAGCATGAAGTCTGGAAGCAGCTCCCATTCATCCTGGGACTCCGATGGCTGTAGTGAAGAAGGTAACAATATACCAGTGGAAGATAGTAATGAAAACTGTGAACAATTGAACTTCATATCGCAGGAAGAATTCTTTCAGAAACTTAATGTAATTGATAGAGCTCGCCAGAGTTTCATAAACATACCATCTGGTATGCCAATAACTTGCCACATGTGTCATAAAACCTACAGTAATAAGGGTACATTTAGAGCCCATTACAAAACGGTTCATCTCCGGCAACTCCATAAATGTAAAGTAGCAGGGTGCAACACTATGTTTTCATCTGTGCGAAGTCGAAACAGACATAGCCAAAACCCTAACTTGCACAGAAGCTTACTGGAGACGGTAGATGTCATGTAGTAAATCATGCAAAATGTCTCTTGTAAATGTATGTGTTAATTACAGTCTTGGCTTCATTGGTTGCCCCAGTAAAGTAACTTTGTTTAAATCCTTTGATTCCATATTAAGTCTTTGAAATGGTAAAGTGTTGCTTTAAATGTTTGGTTTCTAAGATGAACATCTAATTGTTGGATGCATGATGGCAATGATGCAGGCCTGAAAGGCGCTGACTGACACTTTTTTTTATTCTTTACAAACCTCTCTTCTCACAGTAGAATAAACAAAGTTGTGGGTTTTTTGTTTTTTTATAAATTGGTTTTCTCACTGGTTAAAGAAAATACATTTAAAAAAAATTAATTTACATGGGAGTTTGAATGAGCAGAATAGATTGTGGCCCACTTTTTTATTTATGCGCCATAATGTTTAGCAATGTAAAGCTTATTACGTATTTTGTATCTTTGTCCCTTAAAGAGTAACTGTCATAAGTGAGCTAATGATGGTTTTGTCTCCCCTCACCCTAATAAATTAATGTGTTTGCAAGACACTCGAAGATAAATACACCACAGTTTGATACACTTTACCTCCGTGTGACCAATGTCAACATCTTCCCAAGATGCTTTGAGCCTTGTACTTTGGGAGCTGTTGATTCCATGCAGACATTCTCACAGAGTAAGGGCAGACTCTTTGCATTTGATATGCCAGGATGTATTTTGGATTGAATTGAAATTAAATAAATAGAAAATAAATATATATTACATATATATATATATATATATGTATGTATATATATTCTAAAGAATTGATGAGAACACTCGCTGGATTTTCAATCAATCAATGAAGTATATTTAAATTCACACATGGAAAAATCAACGTTTCGACCTGTGTAAGGTCTTTATCAAGATGCTGTACATATATAAACATTGTGTTTATATACCCCATAAATTGAAGAAAATAAGCTTACCAAGTGTCCAAAGTGCACAAGACCCATTCCCACACGCCGATTGGACCACCCCTAATGTTCTCAGTGATGTGTTCACAATGATGTCATGTGTCCGGCGGCAGGACCTCCCAATCTGGAAAGCGTCCCGTTACCATAATGATCTAGTGCAGTGATGGTGTATGAAAAATTTGTGGTTTTCATACGCTGCCGGATGTATGACGTCATTGTGAGCACGTTAGGGGTGGTCCAATGGGGTGGGACTCAGTCTCATGCACTTTGGACACTTAGTAAGCTTATTTTCTTAATTTACACAATGTTTATGAATCTTGATAAAGACCGTATACACAGGTCGATATGTTGATTTTTTTTTTTTCCACATGTGAATTTGAGTACAGTTGATTCATTGAAAATCCAGCGAATGATCACATAATTTCTTTGAATTATATATACAGCGCAGTGCAGCACCCTGGTATAAGTTTTTTAGTATTTCATTTTGGGCAGAGTGCTAGATCATTTGTATTTTTATATTTATTTATATTTTTTATTTATACAGTATTTTTTTAACTGTCAGTGTACGAATGGCTTGAGGTAAACCTATATTTTAAAAATTTGAGCAGCATATGTTTTTGTGCTCTGTATACCTGTTTTTTTTTGATTGAATTGTTGGAACTGCAAGCAGAATTCTACAATATGAAAATGGTCAAGTTGGAAATGTAACTGGCCTTCAGTTTTACAAATTCAATTTAAAATTTAAAAATCCTTTTGAATTCCTGACAATTCACACTTTAGTGACTATTACTGTTAGAATGTTTTTCTTAGATTTTGGTGTGCCAGGTTTCAACCTAAAGGAACACTATAATGTCAGGAAAACAAACATGTGCTCCTGACTCTATATTGCTGAATTGGCTGTTTAGGTGACCTGTCCCCTCTCTGTGCAGTAAAAAGGTTAGCTATGGCTATCCCCACCTTCATGGATGAGATCATCAATATTGATGAGCTCAGCCAATTCAATGCTTTTCCAAAGGAAAGCATTGGAAGGCTATTATGCATCTCTGTGGGGAATGTTCACTGTCTCTTTACAGAGTGTGAAGAAGCATAAGCCATGCTGCACACAGTGTAGCACTACACTAGGAAGCACCTCTCGTGGTCATCTGAGTGACTGCCATTAGAGGTGTTACTAGCCAGCATTGTAAACACTGCCTTTACTCTGAAAAAGCATTGTTTCAGTGCTACTACTGGAGGGACAGACTTTAGACCCCAGAACCACTTTATAAGCTTCTTGTGACTATAGTGTCCCTTTAGTTTTCTAAAGGACATTTAATTTATTATTAATAAAGGGATGCTTGTCACTTTATAGCACAAAGGTGACTTAGTGCTCTCCTACATACCAAATCTCTCTGAGGAAATAAAGAGCATGTTACTTAATGCTATTTCAATGCATTTTTAATTTTCAGGAAAAAGCATGACTTTGAAAGAGCGACATAACGAAGCATTTGAGAGCAGAAGATGCACAGAAAACTCCCTTTACTGAAAAACCCCACAATCACACTATGGGTATTGTAATGCCAGCTGAAACGGTCTTACATTTTTGTAGAAAATAATCTGTAAGTAGGATCCTGATCGTCAGATGTACAGTTTTGATACTATGTCATATAAGCATTTTCACTGTAATTAGATGTATTTTGACATGTATGCTATGCACTTATATTTGTTCTGGGCATTGTAGTATTAAAATGCTTAAATTTCACTTTTTTTCGTCTCTTCTGTAATTCCTTTATAATTTAATCCTTTTATTTTTTTTTTTAGAACTAGTCTAGAAAAAAGATGTTTCCACAGACATGATATTTACTGCACAATTTGTAAATACTGCCCTGATTACCCCTTTATACGCTAAATAAAAAAAGAGCTTAAGAGGTTACATTTTTATTTTATTTTTTTTGTTTTTTTCTCTCTCTCTTTCTCTTCAATGGTTTTCCAGTAGGACTGGATTTGTTAACGTGTTGTGGTGTACTGTATAAAAAAAAAACTAATGTATAATTACATTTGTAGTCATTGTAGCAGTGTAAAATAAATGTCACAATTTGTTGATGTTTAACTTATTCTGAATATGACTTTGTTAGTTTTCATAATGAGAACAATCCGAGATGGATTCTTTTAAAGGATGGAATCCATTTTTTTTTTATTTTTTTTTGACTACTAAAAAATAATGCACAGTAGATTTGCCCAAGAATGTCCTTGTCATTGTAAATGACTTATCTTTGTTTCAGAATAGGAAAAGTAAAATTCTACTAAATGGTTCGTGACCGACTTCACAATAAATATTTCCAGTCATGAACTTTGCCTTTTTTATACATATATTGGTAGTACATTTGAAGCCATAAACAGTGTTTTTGTTTGTGTAAGTAAAATTCCATAAATGTTTTGTTTTTCTCATTGTTGTTCAATAGAACTGCGATTTATTGTTAAATTCTATTTAATTTTTCCTGCACTGTTAAGATTAAGCAGGATTCAAAATAGCTACAGTTCATTTGTATCTCATTTTTGTTTTATTAATTAATAAAAAAAAAATTAACACAAAGGTTAAAACATTTTCATTGTTCTTTTTTTTTTTTTTTTTCAAATAGTTAGTCTTGAGGTTCATGGCTAAAAACAGTTTCCCTTTTTTTTTTTTTTTTTTAAAAGGAACACTACAGCTTTCATCTATTTCTTATGCCATAATTTCACACTATTCATTTTTGTCTGCCTTCATGTGCCCATTTAATCTAAAATTTAGCCAAAATGTAACGGTGATATTTTTTTTCTTAATGTTTACACACATTGGGGTATATTTAAAGTCATAAATAAGTAATTATTTTGCTTATATTTATTGAAATCCTCTAGAAGTGACCAAATTCTCTATAGCAATTTCGCTCAGTTTTCACAGAAATTTGTAGTTTGGAAAACTAGTCAATTTAGAATGGAGTTAAAATGAGAAGTGAAACAGAACACTTTACTGGAGAAAGTGGTGGAAATTTTAATAAACCCATTTTAATCTTTTTATTTATTTTTTTAATGACTTTTATGTAACAAAAAATGTATTTCCTTTCAGAACTTAATGCAAGGGTCATTATATTAAAAAATAATTTTGAGGTCACAGTTGTCCTTTAAATTTTGCTGCAGTTTCCTGGTGGGCCAGTGTTTTCCTTGAACAGATTTGAGTAGAAAGCTATTTTGATCTCCCAAGTCTCATTGATTCACGTAGGGAGCGAAAGCTAGCCAGTCTGGTCAAATTACACAGAAGAGCTTCTGTATCTCATATTGCTGAAAAACCTAATGCTGGCCATGATAGAAAAATGTCAGAATACACAATGCATTGCAGTTTGCTGTATATGGGGCTGCGTAGTCGCAGGCCAGTCAGAGTGCCCATAATGACCCTTATCCACTGCTGAAAGTGCCTTCAGTAGAGATTTGAGCATCAGAACTCCACCATGGAGCAATGGAATAAGGTTGCCGGGTATGCTGAATCCCATTTTCTTTTAGATCAAGTGGATAGTCAGGTGTGTGTGTGTTTATCTGGGGAAGAGATGACAACAGGATACACTATGGGAAGAAGGTAGGCCAGAAGAGGTAGTGTTATTCATGTAGATGGCATTCATGTAGATGATACTCTGACACGTACCATCAATCCAGAGATTATTGCAGACCATGTACACCCCTTCATGGCAATGGCATTCCCTGATGGCAGTGGCCTCTTTCAGCAGGATAATGCACCCTGCCACACTTCAAAAAATGATCAGGAATGGTTTGAGGAACATGAAAAAGGGATGTTGCCTTGGTCTCAATCCAATTGAGCATCTATGGGATGTGCTAGAACAAGAAATCAATCCATAGAGGCCCCACCTTGCAGGACTTAAAGGATCTGCTGGTAATGTGTTGGTACCAAATCAGAGCATCAGAGTTGCTTTGGCAGCGTGAGGGGGACCTACACAATATTAGGAGGGTGGTTTTACTGTTGTGGCTGATCAGCGTAGGCCCTAAATGTATTCACTTAAAGCTGCACTGTCCACACTGTCCATTGCAAAAGTAGAAACGACTTGTTCTTATGGGGAGTGTGACCTTAAGCAATGGGTATAGTTTAAGCAAAATGTAATATTAGTTTCTAAGCTGATTTACCCACAATCAATCAGTAAAAAAGAATTCCATAGAAGTTCCATAAAAAAAGGAACACCAAAACTGGGGGGGAGGGGGAACACTTATTTAAAAAAATGTTTGTATATTTTAAAAATGTAGATACTATGTAACTATTTTACTAATCGTTAGTCAAACATAATTTTTAGGCTTATTATTTCTTTCGAAGATTTCATTTAGATTGCCCTTTAACTGAAATGATTGCTAAAGTATTTATTTATAATACAGCTTCCATGTGCATTGTGGACCTATACTGTGGTTCAGTATGCTATGTCTTCCTGCAGTCTCCAATCCTACGAGTAGCCACACGCTTGCTTAACCCTACCCACATACCATTAAACATCTGTATAAAACTGAAAGACTTTACTTGAACTCACATGCTTCGTTTTCTGTCTTGCAGAACAGATTTATTTTTCTCTTTTTATTTTTTTTTTTTTTTCCTTGCCTTTATTCAGCTAAGTACAAATGCATAAAATAAAAGAAATGACTAGATGACACAGAATGTGCCAAAATCCATAAAGGACATAGTCACAGCTATCCATGTTATCAAAATTACTTTCACACAAAATTGAACAAGAAGTCAGTATTTGAAATTTTAGAAGCTAAACAGAGAAGGAAAAAAACTCCATAATGAAAAACATATATTTGTATTTTTAGTGAAACTTTAATTTCTCTGAAAGTGACATTTCATTGTTCCATATACCCATTAACCACGATGGAAAATATTTACTGGGTTAAAAACCAACAGTGGAGATATGAAGAAAATGCACGTAACTCCACAGCACATCCATGTTCTCGAAGAGATCGTCTGCTTTAAAGGAAACTATTTCCAAAAATGCTTTTTAAAAATTCAAATAATTGGTGCAAAAAATTATATACAAATATCCAGTCCAATGATTCTTATAGAGAATGGAGTCTTTATTGAGATGTATTTTTTTTTTTTTTTAAATCATACTTTAGAGCTGCATTAGTGCAAGTGGTCAAAAACATCTTTATTAAATGCTCATATTGACTGCATTGGATTCATTTAACTCCGACCAAGTTCTACAAGAATCTTACTCTGCTTGAGACCCATTCTAGTCCTGGCAATCTAGTCTGCCCAATATTCTAAATACTCATTAATCCCTGGCCTTATCTTATAGTTCTGATAGCCTTATGCCTATCCCACGCATGCTTAATCTCCTTTACTGTGTTAACCTCTACCACCTCAGCTGGAAGGCTATTCCATGAATCCATTACCCTCTCAATAAAGAGGTTATGATTTTTTTTTTTTTTTTTTACTTTGACCTATGCACCTGGGAAATGTCATAACCAGAACCAACATATAATTTTTCATAATCCGGATGTTGGAGAGTTAAAAAGCCTGATAGTGCACACTATAAGTTTTGATGCTGTGTGTATGTGTGTAACAATCCGTCACGGGCAGCCTGTCAAAGGTGGCTTAGCGAGCAGTGTGTGCCGACACCAGGCACAAAAGTTGCACAAAACGTGGATGTTAACAGCCAGGAGGAGAGTAATTCTAGCTGGATGACAGCCCAGGGAAGCAGCACTAGATATGTGATGGCAGAAAAGAATTGTTACATCTAGTTTGCCCATTATAAAATCAAAGCCAAGCCTGCATGAATTCTTTCACAGTGTTCTAATCTTTATTATTTCAACTGGACATCTATCCCTGGTATCTACTACCTCTTCTGGACAGTAGTATATTTCACAGGCCCCTACCATTTTCCTTTTCCAATTTTAAACATTGACCTTTTATTCTGTTTCCATTGTCAAGAGGGACTATCACTTATGTGGTCAGGTCTTTGCATTTCTTACAAAGGATGTCGAATTACCTGAGGTTTTGTTTTACTTCTGGGTGCTTTCATTTGCAGGTTTGAACTCCTGGCAGATGCAGCTACCAAGAGTTGCATTTTGTTTTTATTTTTTTACCTTGCTCATTGCTCAGGTGCGAGTACAAAACTGGACTTGATGGCACATCCTACAAGATCTGCAGTATGCCTGATGAAAGGCTGATGGGAAATAGCAAGGAATGCTAAACAGACATATTTTGTCACAAACTGTTGCATACACAAAACCATTCTACTTTGGTATTGTGTTTGTAATACTTTATGAAAAAACAAGTACATTTTGTGGAACATCGGTAAAGATTCAGTCCTCGTAAAGGAAAAAAAAAAATCAAAGCAGGTTGTATCCAGTAGGAAATGCACACATCATATGAGATAATTAATCCAAACAATATACTGGGGCTCCAGGCTCAGAGAATGGCAAGAACTCTTCCATTAGCAGAGCAAGTCCAGACACACACATTCCATCATACGACATACTTTTTATTGGAATAAGCACCACATGAGTGTGTCGGCCTATCTGGACGGCCTTTCTCTAGCCATAACATCATTGAGTTGCACACAGATATAATTGCCCCTCACCATCCATGTAAAACATCCTTCACCTGATTACATTGTTAAATAAGTGATTAAATATACCTACCCATTAAAGGGACACTATAGTCACCAGAGCAACTACAGCTTAATGTAGTTGTTCTGGTAAGTATAATCATTCCCTTTCGGCATTTTCATGCAAACACTGTCTTTTCAGAGAAAAGGCAGTGTTTACATTGCCTCCTAGGGATACCTCCAGTGGCCACTCCCCAGATAGCCACTGAAGGTGCTTCTTGGGGCACTTCTGCACACTGTGTTCAGCATCTCCACGCGTTGCATGGAGACGCTGAATTGATTCAATGCATCTCTATGAGGAGGTGCTGATTGGCCAAGCCGGCATTTGGCCCTGCCTCCATCCCACCGCCTTGCCGATTGCAGACAATCCAATGCTTTCCCTACTGACCCGCACGGTGTTGGAAATAAGGTAAGTTTTAACCCCTTCTAAGGGGGAAAGCCACCATAGGGTCAGGAATACATTTATGTTCCTGACCCTATAGTCTTCCTAAAAGCAATCATCGCCACGTGCAATCCCACTCTCAAAAACCCACATTCAAATGAAATCACATGACCCATAGGTCACAGCTAAATCTGTCAAATATAATCAGGTGAAGAATGTTTTGCACTGATGGTGGGGATTATTTATAAGTGTAATTCAATGATGTTATAACTTGAGAAAGGCTGTCCGTATCTGCCGAAACATTGTCATGTTGTGTGTATTCCAATAAAAGGTCTGCAGTATGATGGAATCTGTATGGCTGGACAGATTAGACAGTTTGACAGACTGAATAGACAGTCAGGGTTAAGTAACAAGGATAATTAATAAAAGTGACAATTTCAAGCTGGAGTGCTTTAGGAATCTAAAGTGTCCCTTTAAAGATAAACCAGCTCATCACAGTTTGTTTTTTGTTTTT